CCATGTCCTAGGGTGATCTTTCTTCTGTATCCTTATCTTCCCTTCTTTTTTTTTTTTTAAATGGGATATCCCTGACCTTAAAATTCTGGTCTCAAGTGATCCTCCTGCCTCATTCTCCTGACTATTTGGGACTATAGGTGCTTACCACCTTGCCCCACCAACTTCCCTTTATAAGGACATCAGTCATATTGTATTAGATCCTACCTCAGTGACCTCATTTTAATTTAGTTACCTGTGTAAAGACCCTGTCTCTGATGAGAGTGATAGTCCAGGGTACTGAGGGCTAGAATTTCAACATAAGAATTTTGTGGAGACACAACTCAGCCCCTAACAGCAAGAGTAGTGGTGGAAGGAGCAGAGGCCTTCTGCGGGTTGGATACTTTTATGAAAAGATGAAGGCAGGTACCCTCCCAACAAGAGGGATGGTTCAGAATCTCCTTCTAAGGTTCTTTCCACTCAGTACCCAGACCTGAGTCTCCCTCAGAGTCACAGTCACCGGGCTGCAGGTCAGATGGAGGTAGCCCTAAAAGAAGTCAAGCATCAGGTAAACAAGAAGTGTAATAAAAATTAGAAAAACGGCAATGCTGGAAATGGACTACCTTAGAAGGTCTAATGTCCTGACTCCGTATGGCTTCTGGGAGGTCACAGGATTGGTCCTTTCACTCAAGACTCTCTTTACTCACCTGCCCTGGTCCCATACGATAGACCTTTGACTTCCTGGTATGATTGTCGACCAGGTTGGTTTTGAACTCCCTCACCCTGTGAGCAAAGCTGCCTGAGTGTGACCTTCACCCCATGATGACAATGATGTTCCTTTACATCGTTTTCCTAAGTCCACACCCAAACCCGAGGATCTGAGGATGGCAGACAGATGAGAAGCTGGATTTATGGAGAATTGAGTTTTGGAAGGGCTGGATCCTCTTCCATAGGAGAGAGCCGCAGCTTTAAGGGCCTCCAGGCTCCCTGCAAGTTCTTCTGAATCTGCAGGCCCCTCTTCTTGCAAAGTGCTCAGGAATGCAGAACGTCTGGGTGCTGGTGATGAGCTGGATCCAAGAGTCTGCACAGAAGGGAGCCCCACTGGGCCTGGACCTCCCTGGCAGCCACTGTAAGCCAGGCCAGTTAGGAGGTACTGCTCCTCCTTCGGGGGTAGAGAGCTTTCCTCTTGGCAATGTCCTCCTCAGTATCACTCTCACAATTCCTCTGGAGGGGTAAGAAAAAAAAAGAGGCCCAGGGCAGGGTGTCATGGGATGCCAGGCACAGGGCTGTGCTAGGCAGCCTGGGATGGTGTACTTGGGGCAGGGGTCTATAAGCCAGGGAGATGATATAGAAAGGAAGCCAATTGCCCCACCCAGAAACTAGTGGCCAGAAGGGACAGGAGGGAAGACTTGAAATGAGGACAGACCAACTATCTTCCCAGGAGGCAGAAAAGCAGGTAAAGACATCCAAGGAAAACCAGGCACCAGAAGAAGTCAAATTATAATAATGAAAATGTCATCTGGTGCCTTTTGTGGCTGCCACATTAAGACCACTTGGCTAGGAGGTGTGTGGGCTGATGGGCCTCTGAGCTCTACCTAGAAGGAAGGGTTGGGGGTCATATGTTTCTCCCCTCCACCACTCCACACTCTCTGCCTTGATTGACTTTTCCAAGGACATGACTTCTGAGCTCCATTTTCATGAAAGAAGAAAAGAGTATCAAGTATAGCCTGTCAGCTTCTGCTGCTAAACCAGAGCCAAGGCAGCTACCTGGAGACCACAATGTCTTCCACTCAGGTCACACTAATCTAACCTAATTATTAAAAATTATTAACAAAGAATTAATTCAGACTTAATGATTCATTAAAAAATCTGTTGTTAGGAGCTGAGCATGGTGGCTAATACCTCTAATCTCAGCTACTCAGGAGGCAGAGATAGGAGGATCTCAGTTTGAGGCCAGCACAGACAAAAAATACTAGTGGGACCCCCGTCTCAACCAAAGTCTGAGGCCAACCTGGGGCAAAAATGCAAAATCTAATCTGAAAAATAAAGCAAAAAGAGATGGAGATGTGGCTCAAGTGGTAGAGTGCCTGTGTGAGGCCTTGAATTAGAATCTCAGTACAGTAAAAAAAGTGAATCTGTTGTTAGATGTTCAATTTCAATGCTTCCTAACCAAAAGGTCCTATCATTATCACAAAAAAGGGCTGGTGGAGTGGCTCAAGGTGTAGGACCTGAGTTCAAACCCCAGTACCACAATATAAATAAATAAGCAAATATCTGCACAAAGACAAAGTTAGGGGAGAAATTTATATTCTTTTCAATTTCTCTCTGCTCCTCTCTCCCCAAGGATGTATCATATCAAGATAAGGGAACCAGGGGCTCAGCCTGAAAAGCTTGTCTGCTGCCTGTCCTGCACCCTCCTAGGCAGGCCTGAGACAGCTGGAAATCCAAGGTCAAGATCAACTCAAGCCAAATACATCCTGGACCAAGCCTGGCTATAACAATAAAAATAACTCAACTCTGCTGAATAGCAGCCTTTTACGCATGAGTCAGAGTTGAACAATAAAAAAGTAAGTAGAGTCCACAGGAAGTCTCAGAGACCACGAGGAAAGCAGCCAGGAAGTGCACTTGGTGGGGAGAGAGGAGCCAGAAAAGGGACTCAAAGCCACATAGGTTTCCGGAACTGTAAATTCTCAAGTCCTCGCAAGAGCAGAAATAAACAAGAGCTCAGGCTGAAGAAGAGGACCCTGGGGCATGTGGGAGGTGGAGGGCTGGGGAGCACAGGACTGTGCATCTTGAGGTTGCTCAGGGCGACTGCCCAGTGAATCAGGCAGCTGCTCGATAGCTGTGTTCTGAGCAAGCAGTCATCTTCTGTGTCCTGACCTGTGCCATTGTACTCTTGGCCCCCTTCATACTCAGTGAACTGTTATTAACACTGGTACCTTATTTTAACGTGTATGGGAAGATTTTATTTTAATTAATTAGTTAATTAATTTATTTGTTTTTTTGAGACAAGGTCTTGCCATATATGCCATATAGCTGAGACTGGGCCTGAATTTATGATCTTCCTGCCTCAGCCTCCCAAGTGCTTGGATTACAGGTATGCACCACCATGCTTGACTACAAGAGGATTTTAAATGAGAATTGCTAACATATATTGGCACTTATATGCCAGCCTTTAAGGACAGGTCTGCATTTAAATCTCATGACTATCTGTGAGGTAGTTTAACAAATGATGACATTTTGGTACAGAGAGGTTAAGTAATTTCCTCAAGGTCACACAGGGGTAAGGGGCAGATTTGAGCCAGGGGCAGCCTGGCTCTAAAGGCCACACTCTCGATCAGCATTTTCTTTTATGACTCTCATTTTAAATGTACATAAAACTGTAACAAGTTAAGTATAAGATATCATCTAAATATTATTGTTGTTGATCATGGTAATCTAAAGCAAAATAGAACTGGAAAAACTAAAAAGCTCCCATTCTAAAGCAGATTTTTGAACTGTCAGAAATAAATTTTGGATGGCCTATGGTACTCATTCTTGAGTCCCCACAGTCCCTGCAGGGGAGAGAGGGAATGGCAGCAGCTGTCGCTTTGAAAGCCCACAGGAGAGGACTGGAGATCTTGCAAAATCTCCTGCCACACCATTGCAGTGCAGGCCAGGCATCTTCCTGAGGTCCTCCAAACGCACCCTCCTGCGGGGGGGGGGGGTAATGGGTCTTCCCACTCCCGAGCTCCAGCCCACTCCACAACTTTGCCCAAGAAAGGGCTCTGCATTTACCCACCAGGTCCTCAGTCGTCCTCAGGTGTACCTTCTTCATCAGGGAGCGGGTCAGGTGGTTGCACAAGGAGACGATGCTGAAGGAAAGCTGGGAGCAGAGAGCAAAGGAACTGCAGGTGAGTGGGTGTCAGACAGGCACCCAGCAGCGAAGTCAGGGGCCCCGGCTGCTCCCCGTCCCCACTCCCAACCCTGACGCACCTTCCACCTCCGGCGGACGTACTGCTTCTTGAAATTCTCCAAGTTGACCACGGACTCCCTGCGCACCATGGCTTGCTGGTTATCCACGGGCTAAGAAACAAAGGACAGGGTGATGGTGTCGCTGGGCTTCATACAGCAGCTGCCTATCTCCCGGCAGAACCTTGGCCGTCCTGAGCGTGGCCCTGGCTCCTCTCCGCTGGGCAGGGAGGACAGTGGGAGCGTCAGATGCGGGCACCACTGCAGAGGCCCAGTGGCTGGGAGATGTCCCTGAGCTATTATTACTACGGAGACACTTGCTGACCTGGCTGGAGGCCCCGCCTCTGCTGAAGGGGAAGAGCAGGAGACCGAGGCTTCCAGGCAGGGGGGGAAGCTCATTTTACAGCAATCTGCGATGCCCCTGGTGCACTGGGCTGACTCTGGGATTAGCAAAAAGGATCCTTGTTGGCAGATGGAACATTAGTACTCCTTTAGAAAATAAATGGAAACAAAGAGGTGCCTGGATGGGGGTCAAATGGGGACAGATCTGGAGTTGCCTTTCACTGCCTGAAAGTCAAGGCTTAAATCTTGACTTCTCCAAGAAGCCTGGCATAGCTTCTCTAAGCCTCAGTTTGCCTATCTGTAATGTGGGAGACATGAAAACAACACAGTTGTTGAGGAGTAAATTTATGTGGGTGTATAAAGTGCTTAACACAGCACCAGTCAGTAAGTAGCAATAACTTGTTGTTAGCTTCCGTGCCTTTTCTATTTCCTCTTAAATTTCCCCCCTTTGGTAAATAAGCCTTTCCTAGATCAAGAGATAGGTTTCAGGGGTCCTGTAAGCCTCCTGAAATGGTTTGCAAATTTTAGTGTATAGGATTGTACACGAATGGTCACAGTGGCATTATTCATAAGAGCCAAAAAGTGGAAACACAACTGATGAATGGATAAACAAAATGAAGTATATCCACACAATGGAATATTATCCAAGAATATTATTTGTAAAACCGAGTGGAGTATTGATATATGCTACAACATGGATTAACCTTAAAAATATTCTGTTAAGTGGAAAAGCCAGACACAAAAGGCCACATATTGCATGATTACATTTATATAAAATGTCCAGAATAGGCAAACCCATTGAGACAGGAAGTAGACTAAGTTGCTAGGGGCTGGGGATAGGAAAGAATGTGGAGAAGGTTTCTTTCTGGGCTAATGAAAATGTTCTGAGATCAGAAAGTAATATAATGGTGGTTGGTACAAGCTTATATAGTGAAAACCATGGAATTGTACATTTTAAAATGGGGAAATTTTATGACATATGAATTATATCTCAATTTTAAAAGCTTTGTGTGTGCGTACAGAAATACATTTCTTTGGAAGACAGTCCATAGTTTTCATTGATTCTCAAAGGACCCCATGAGCTCAAGAAAATGAACTTCCCAGTAGGGTCCCTTGAATCCTCTCCTCCAACAGTCTTGTCACTGCAGGATTGCATTTGACCAAGTGAGAGCTGAAAGAGGCAGCTCAGTGGTCCGCCCCCCACCCTCCGCCCCTTGCTGGTCCTGTCTCAACTCCTTACAAGGAGAGCCTAACAAATAGGATTAGTAGACTTAGGGAGGGAAGGACATTTTTCTGTCCACTTACAGATGGGCATCCTCAACTAGCAGAGAACTGGCTGACTCCCACAGCAGGAAGGTCAATGTGCAGGCAAGGGGAACCTTGTGAAGAACCCTACCTTCCTTCTAACCCAGAAGGGTCAGCCACTGAGCAGAGGGGGGCCCAGCTGAAACGTCACGTGGGACCATTTCCAGGGCCATTAATGGGAAGTGACACAATTACTTCTTGGGCCCTGCTGCACACAATAGCAGGGGCCCAGAGGAGCCCATGGCAGATATGAATCTGTCAGGCTGGCCTTTCCTGATCAATGGACTTCCCTGGTTGCTAAGAGGCTCACCCAAGGCCCACACTGGAAAGACAGACATAAATTTTGCAGTGAAATCTGTTCCCAGAAGGAATGTGGCACAAACACTTTTTATCAAACGTGCTGGGGGTGGGGAGGAGCGGGGGGAGGAGCTGTTTCTAAACACTCCCCTCCCCTGGTAAACAGACAGTGAGTGCCTGTCTTCCAGACTTGTGGTCCATAAGTGATACTAGGGAGCCTGGACAATTCTTGGAAAAATGTTGGAAAGGGAGACAAGAAGACAGAAAGCAGGGGCTGGAGTCAGGTTTTGTTTATGCAGATGTAAACGCTTTTGAAACAATCCAGTGTGCTAGGTCAGCTCCGACATCCACAAAGCATGGAGAGGAAGTAACAGCTACCCTCAAGGCATGAGAAAGGAACCCCAGCTTTCCAGAAGAGGCACCCCCGGAAGATTTTCTCTAAATACCAGGCTTCCTGTAGAGATTGCAGACAGACTGCAGCTTTTTAAACCTCCATCTGTGCCATCCCTCCAGCCTCATACTCCACGGAGAGCCAGGAGCACCCACTCTCTTTCTGCCCAGGGCTGTCACTCTGAGTGTCGTCCCCTTCCCCTCCATCTGCTGAGTTTCTCTCCAGGTGGTACCATGCCCTTTGCTGCCTGGGGCCTGAGTCCTGCTGGCCTACCACCTATTTTCCCAGAAAGGTACAGGTGAGGCTTGTGAGCACCTGAGCCTCTGCCTCTCCCCTGTGTGGGGAGAGCTGCAGAAAGGCTGAGGGCCTGTGGACTGTCTCCTGCAGCAAAGAAGTCAACAGCAGGAAGAGGAAATACCCCTGTCCGTGCCCTGGTTCACTCTCTGTTACATTTCAGCATGGCACAGGGATATGCTTTTAATCCTCTCTCCAGACCTTCAGTTTTCTGAGCAATTTTTCTACCTAAGAAAAGCTTCCAAAGCTCTCCTCCTGTGCTATCTCAAGAGACTTGAAAGATGTCAACTAAATGCCAAGTGTGAACTGTGCTTGGATCCTGATGTGAACAGACGAACTGCATATAACAGGACACTCTTGAGAAATGTGGGGACAGGTGTTTGGAATATGTGTTCAGATGAGATGGAGGAATCATTGCTGATTTTATCAGGTATGACCATGGCGTGGTGTTTATATTAAAGAGAAAACCCTAGCCGGGCATTGTGGTAGCCACTCCTGTAATCCCAGCACTTGGGAAGCTGAGGCGGGAGAATTGTGAATTTGAGGATAGCATAGGCTACACAGTGAGACCTGTCTCAAAAAAAGAGTTCTTATCAGAGATCATACTGAAGAATTTATGAGTTGAGTAAGTCTAAAGTTTGCTTTAAAGTATTCCAAGTATGCCAGAAGAAAGTAGTGGGGGAGATGCATGAAAGATAACTGGTCATGCCATGACTCCTGCTGGAGTAGGGTAATAGAATTCACTATACCATCCTCTGCTTTTGTGAAAGTTCTGAGCATTTTCCATGACAAAAAGGTCTTTAAAATGTTAAAATTACATCAGATTAAAACCTCTGTAATCTTTCTCTCTCAACAGTTCTGAGTTCCTGACCCAATCTGGGCTGCTACCCCTCCAATTCTGCTCAACACTTTATGTGCAAGGATACACGTGTGGGGAGTGTTGGTGATATGGTGTCCGCCCCAGATTGCCTCTGCTTTCTCTGTCCCTCCTGCCTGGTCTCAATTGGAATTCATCTCTCCCACCTTGTGGAATCTTAGATACTTCTGTTATCACTCACCACAGCCTTTCCCTCCTCCCAGGGGTTGTCTTGTCCTTATCTGTCACCTCCTCCCAGAGCCAGAGCACAATCACTATTTGTTCAACTGGCTCCCTCTGCAACTCAAACATGCCCACTGCTGGGTCTCCTCTCCAGGACCATGAGTCTTCTCCACAGGCGGAGAATTTCACAGAGGAGAAAACGTATTCAGTTCCACAGACGTTTACAGAGAAAGCTGACAGGCCAACATGGGCTAACTGTGCGTGTGATCAGTGAGGAGGGAAACCATCATTGTCACTGTCACCTGTATGGGAAGGGGCTCATGTTGGAGACTGTGGCTTCTACTGCCATGATTTCATTATTCCACTCTATTCCTTCATTGCTAGCCTCTAGCAACTGCAAACTATCACCACCCTTTCTGACAAACTTTGCAATCATAGCTTGGCTGTCTGCTTCCCAAGGGCCCACTTCCAACTTCCCTGGGAATTCAGGGAGATGTCACATACTCCCCTGCCCTTCCCAATGGCCCAGGATGACATCTGAACTCAGCATAGAAGCTGACCTTTAATTCACAATCTGACAAATTAAAAATCCTCCATGATGGCAGAGGGGCCTGTCCACAGAGCAGAGTCCTCACCAAGGATTCCTCCTCCTACAGCCCAATGAAACACTCCACTCTCACACCCCACCATATCAGCCCTGCTCTCTCCATGCTATTAAAATGCCAGCCATGACCACATGGGGACAGAGTATGCAGGTCCACTGGCTGCATCCCACAGGCCTCCTGGGCCCCCCTGAACATCAGGTTGTGATGCCAAAGGAAAATGGAGTTTGACTGGCAGGTAACAGAAGGTCGAAGTCTTCTCTGAGTTCCCTGAAAAACTTGTGGGCATTTCTCAATTCACTTTGTCTTTGGATGCTCTTTATACAGAAAATGGTGTGTTAATGAAGCATCTAAAGGAGACAAGGACAATTTCATTGCTGTGAGGAAAATTACTTACGGCTCTGAGCCCGGCTTGTGGGCTGACCAGCTGGGTGACTTTGGATAAGTCCTGCCTTGTAATTGGATATAAAACAAGGGTAGCTGGTGGTTCACCTTTGAGGACCCTCCTATATGATTCCACAAATCCAAGATAACTGCAGCTCCCTCCCTTTTCCCAGTCTCCCTAACTCAAATCATCGCCACCATTTACACTTTCATTACATTTATTTTGACCTTCACAAGGAAGTTTGCCCAGGTTTGCTCCAGTTATGGCTTTCTCTCTTTAGGAAACCTGGCTGTGAAGGCCAAGGTCTCTTGACATGGCCAAAATGACCTTTAATGTTTGCAGTGTCTTATATCAAGCAAGTATACAATGTCCTGTGACAGAGCAGATAAGACTTGAGAGAGATTGTAGAGGTCGTCCTCACCAATTCTCTCAGGTAAGGCATAGGAAACAGAGTCTTGCCATCTCTCCTTGATTTCAAGATGCACATTTTCAGATCTCAGAGGTCAGGTAACTTCTCTGATCAATGGTATTGTGTCAATACTGTGGGTGGGGAGTAAAGGCAAGTGCTCTGGGAGAGGACTGCACTGCTTCAACCAGCCACTCGGGGCCACCCAGCCTGTGACTGTGTGGCACGGCGGTCCCTACTTGAAGTTCTTCAGTAACGCGCTGATTGTGCAAATCCAGAGTAAAGCTGCACAAGTAGCTCCCACCTCCTATTCTTAGGAAGATTCTTCCCTGCTGGTGTAAAAGTTGAGACATGTATTTCCTTTCTCCTACTGCATGGTGGCTCTATTTCTCATTTACCCTCTCAGCGAGAGGGTCACAGCTTTGTGAGTGTGTGTGTGTGTGTGTGTGTGTTGGGAGGGGTGTCTCCTATTAGTTGCTCATGCTGGGTTTGTTTTCCTTCCTACTGGTACATAAAATAATAATGCATCTTAAAATCATGACTCATCATGTTTGATGGAAAAAGTTCCCATTGCAAGTATTACAATATTTGAAGTGATTCGCTTGCTAACGGAAGACGAGATAGGATTTTGAAGAAATGGTTTCAGGAGATCAAAGTCTATGTGTTGTCCTAAACCACTTCTTGTCTGTGCTGCTCACTGGGTAGCACTTGGACCCATTGATGGCTTCCCCTGACTCTGGGGACAAAGCCCTGAAGGTCTTGCTCTTCCCTAGTCTTGTCTGTGCCATACTCCTGTTCTCTCCCCTCCAGCTTTCCTTTTGTCCTCTCTTTGCCAGCCTTCCATGCCCCTCTCATCACCGGGCCCTGGCATGAATGCCCTGTTGGGAGCATCTTTCCCTGCTTTGGTAGCTGATCTCAGCTCAAGGGTCCGTACTTTAAGGACACCTCCCCTGAGCAGATCAAACCCCTACTGCAGGCCTTGCAGTGCTGCCTGCTTCTCTTTCACAGCATAGGCCCCATCTGCAATTCTGCATGTGTGTGACTTAAGCTGGAATCTTTCACTGCACTGAGAACTCCATAAAGGCAGGAAACAGGCCTATTTTTACTGGGAATGCAGTTATTCCCAGACTCAAGACAAGTGACTGGAAGTTGGCAGGTGCCTGGGTATCATTTGTCTCCACAAGTACAGAATAAACATCTAGAGACGGGGCCATAAGGGGAAGCAGAAAAAGTCACAGACCTGTCATCCAAAGGCCTCCAATTTGCCATTAATGATGTGGGGCATCTCCTCTCTGCTTTCTCATCCCTAAACTGGGAATAACATTTAATCCAAGTATCTGACAGGGGTGTTTTGTGAGGCCATGAAGACACTTTGAAACTATATAATCTGTCCCCTCCAGCCTCAAGCTTAAGTATAATGCTAGGTCCATATTCTGTGTACTGTCTGTATGATTTGGCGGACTGTCCTGTCCTCTGGGGAAAGGGAGATGAGATCACATAACCCTTGATGAAGGATGCTCAAAGATTTGGATCAAGAAGGGACCACTGAGCTCTGTGCTTCTCAATCTTTATGTCTACCTTCTTCAGACTCATGAAATTTCTATACCTTTGGGGCCAAATGGTCTAGTACATAAAAGGAACCTCTGTGATGAGTATCCTTTGGTCTTCATTCTCAAAACAAAGTTGGATTCCTGAGTTAGAAGCCGGGGGAGTGTGGGGAGAGGATAGGTGCTGCTCCTTCCTTCCCGCTCTGCAGGCTGATCTTTAGACAGGGACAGGCCCAGGTAGGAACACCTTCTGAAACACAGCTCCTGAAACAATCATCTGCAGGTGTACACATTCCACCCACACCTGGCAAAATACATGAAGTTAAACTTGACATCTAGGATCTGAACTTTAATATTAACACGAATTCCTTACAGCTAAGCCTCACTACTTTCTTGTCTCTGGCTCACCTCAGAGATGGACACCCTGAGTTTCCATTTTATCTGTATCAGCTAGCTGTGAAGGACTTTAAGTCCTTCTCCTCCTCTGAATCAATTTCCTCATCAGTTATGGAGAAATTAAGAATAAGATCATCACTCACCTTCCTATCTTGCAGAGTTCTAAAAGGATCAAGTAAGGTCACAGACATAAAGGCATGCTAAATGAAAAGTCAATTCAAACGAAAGGCAGTATTTTCTCTGTGCATTTTAAATCCCTGCTTCTGTGGCAGGGAAGTACCCTGCTGACTTAGGTACCCTTAGTTAACTCAATTATTGCCCAAGATCTGCAATCATAAGGTATGTAGGAGGAACATGAGAAGTGAACCAATCCATCATCACTAATCAATTATCAAGCAGCACCCAGTGCCAGCCAGCCTCCCCCTGAAGAGGGGCACACCAAGGGGCATTTATTCTCTAACTGTTCCAACAACTCGAGTGCCCTGCCAGGGCCCCCTCAGAACACCAGGCTGGTGAGGGATGCACAGAAGGAATAATTAACTAGCACCTCAGCAACTGTAGATTCTCAGAAGCAAGTGGAGGCTGTGCTGCAGACACCCACCCTGCAGTGTAATTCTAGCTATATCACACTTCTGCAAACCATCCAGGATGCACTATGGCTGGATTCTGGTGCTCAGAACTTCAAACTGGCCAGGACATCCTCAGTGCGTGACCTGTTGAGCAGCTCCGATAGGGAGTCAATGGCATCCCGGTGGAACATGGAGCCTTGGTCATCTGTATCCCTTCTTTCCAGCTGGAAGCTGCCCACCAGTTCCTGCATCCACTGAAGGTCTGCTGAGAGCGCCTGCCTCAGAGCCTCAAACTGTGCCTGCAGATGGTCCAATTTCCTGGCCACGCTTCCAAGGCTGGACCCTGTGGCCTGGATGTCTTCTCGCACGAGTTTCTTCAAGGACTCCACCTTGCGGAATTCGTACCTGAGCTGGGACAAGTCGTGGCGGGCACTCTCGTTCTCCTCTCGGTACCAAGCCGCCTTCTCATTGTAGATGGAGACCAGGGCCTCCACATCATCCTGGAGAGTGTCATGGGCCTCTGCTAGAGCACGGCATCCCTGGTCTACCTGAGCCATGTCTTCTACCACATGGGCAAAACGCTCAAAGTTGACATAGGTGTTGTTCGGGGGCATGCTGGAGTGGCACTTGAGGGTGTACTCTCTCAGGCGTTTGGTCTTCAGCTGAGCAGGCTGTGTCTTCTGCTGTTCAGGGGCTCTAACATCTCCTTTGGACTGACAGGTGTTCAGACAGAAGAACCAGAATATTAATAGGATGTGTGCTCCAAAAGGCAGTCCAAGCTGCAAGGCGGAAGGCACAGACATGGCTTCTTTAGCATTCACTGCATGTGTCAGGCCCTGAGGAGAGCCAGGGTGGAGCCAGCACTCCCACAGAGCATAAAAAAGGTCAAGGAGAGTGAGGACTGCTGCCTGCATGCTCACTTGAGGGCAGAGAGGTCCATGGCCATTAGAGCAGGTCTCCACATGCTTAGCATTTTAGGGGGCTCACACAGACAAGCAGGCTGCAGCCAGAACTCTGCAGATATCCACTCACGAGCTGGAGCACACAAAGCCATGGCTGGCAGAGAGAAGCTGAGGGGTGTCTCTCTTCCAGGGTTCCTTGGGCTTTGGCAACACTTACCATGCTCTGCAGGAAGGATCCCAAGAGACTACCTAGCTCTGTGTTCTGGGCTCACCCCCCACCTGGAGGACCCTTCCCCATCTTTCTTTTTTTGGCTGCACTGGGGTTTGAACTCAAGGCCTCATGCTTGCAAGGCAGGTGCTATTACTGCTTGAGCCATTCCACTAGTCCTTTTCCTTCCTCATCTTTCAATGAACAGATGAACCTGACCTTTTCCCAGACCACTCCACTCTCCCTGCTTTCCATCATCCATAGGCCTCTACCCTTCTTATCTGCACACAGATCATCTCATCAACCATCTCATTAAACAATAAAGGCGAATGGGAAGTCTGGGAATTGCAAACCTAGTCAGTCAGCAGAACTAGGGCCATGACCCTGGTTTCAGAGTCCCACCCTCCTGAGGTGCTTTTCACTCTAACAGCCTGCAAGGCCCTTTGCAAAACCAGCAGCTGAAGCATCAATTACAAGGAGTTAGGCAGGGATTTGCCCTTTTGCCCTGACTCTCCCAAGAAGGAAGAGAATGCTTTAATAGGGTGGTGGCCTCTCTTCCTGAGTCCTTCCAGTAGCCTGTGTAAGCCATATGACTATTTAGAGTGTCAATCTTTACTCAGAGCCCCAGAAGGCAGAAAGAAAAGACCCACACTGGTTACAAAGTTAGGGTTTTTAATTGCCATTGATCTCTGTATGACTCTATATAACTGAGGAGTCCTGATTTCTGCTGTGAGGAGTGACAATGACATGTCCTTAGGACAAAGAACATTTTGAAAGATAACCCCAGAGAAAAAGCATTTCAACAGAGGTTTGTGAGGGTTTTGTTTCATGAGTTATCTGAGCCCATGAAATTCAAACTTAAAGTAGCATGACCCTATTTGAACAAGCTTAGGTCCTTTTGGACCCCTGATTAGCTGTCATCTGTACCTAAGGGACAAGCAAAGGGCTTTCTATGGGCTCTTTGCATCTGGCTGCCACAGACAGCCCTGGTGACAGAACAGGGACCCTGCTCACTGGAATTCACCACTGTGCCCTTACCATGATCCAGGGGTGTCTGAGAGCCTCTTGGATGGTGAGCCGTTTCCTGCAACGAGGATTAGAAAACAGGGGTGACCCATGAGGACAGAGCATCTGCATCCCACTCTTTTTTTTTTGCATTCTTTGACCATGCACAGTGGGGAATACAGAGATGACTGGGAATAAGCTGCATTTCCTGAACTCCAGGGAAAGTGACCCAGGAAGACCCCTCAACAGAGACCTCACTACATGAACATGCCTGATCTCATCTGGTCTCGGAAGCTAAGCAAGGTAGGGGGCTTGCTTAATCCTTGGATGGACTTACTACCAAGCCCGCATCTTCAGTTCCAAAGTTGAAAGGCTTAACACCACCCTCTAGGGGAGTCAGCCAGATCTCCATTGCTCAACTCCTGGTGTCTGTTTGTCTCCCAGGTTTCTCCTCTGCCCTTCACTTCTGTGTACGCAGGTAGGGTGGCCTTTCCTTACACAGGGAAGGCAGATCCCCTGAGCTTCAGAGGGGACCCAACTTTGATGCTCTCTGGAGTGTTTGGGACCAAGAGGATATAGCCTTCTAGCATCTATGGCCTTTCCCTCTGTCCTATCCAGGCCCTGCTCTGGGCACCCGACAGCACACAATTTCCTTCTTATCTTCTTCTTCTTCTTTTTCTTTCTCTTTTTTCTTGCAGTACTGGGGCTTAAACTCAGAACCTCACCTTGAGCCATTCCACCAGCCCAATTTTTTTGTGATAGGGTTTTAGGGTTTTTTCCTTTTTTTTTTTTCCTTCGTTGCTGGGGACGGAACTCAGGGCCTTTCACTTGCCAGGCAAGTGCTCTTCCATTGGGCTAAATCCCCAACCCGTGACAGGGTTTTTTGAGATAGGGTCTCGGGAACTATTTGCCCAGGCTGGCTTTTAACTGTGATCCTCCTGATTTCTGCCTCCTGAGTAGCTAGGATTAAAGGTGTGAGCCACTGGTGCCTGCCCTGCCCATCTTCTTCTTTGACCCCACAGCCGCAAGGCCCACCCTGGCCCCTGAAGCAGGAGCGGAATCAGTATATGTCACCTCTCCTCCCACTGTACCGCCTCCCTCCACTACCAACCTGAACTGCCTTGCAAACTCTACCGCTTTACCTTTCCAACCTCAGCTCCAGGTGTCTTTGGGACAGACTGCACAAGATAATGAGCCCTAAGAACTATGAACTGATCTCCAAACATACGCGCACACACACACACTCACATGAATTATTTGCATTTCAGCAGGAGGCCAGGAAGGCAGAAAGACTTCAGCAGGCAAGATGAATGACAAGTGTTGGCCAGTCACACTGTTTAGCACTTGCCCAGATTAGAACACAATAGTGCAGGTGTCAGCTGTGGCAAAGTGGGGACAAACTGGCACATCTTTGACAGAGGCAACAAGAGAGGATCAGTACCTGAGAAAACAATGCCTTTCTCTATCTTCTTACCGGGTCTCTTTTACCAGAAGCTTCCGAATGAAGTCCTTGGCCAGCTCGCTAGTCTGGCTGAAGAATTCCTCGTCAAAGTCGTAACTCACTGCTGTGATATTTGCCAGTGTTTCCTGCTTCGTGTCTCCCAGGAAAGGGGATGCTCCACTTAGGCTGAACACAACAGAGAGCACACCACATGACTGCAGGAAAGGGGATGGAAATGGGGGCTATGGATTTGGGGAACCCTGACCTGTACTGTGGCATTGGGCTGGGAGGCACCTGGCAACCCTGGGCAGCCAAACAGCACCCTTGTCAATGCAGTCCAACTGAAAGCCCTTCATGGAGGACTACGTACCTGGCAGAGAGAGATTGAGACTGTCCTTGAAGGACTCAAAAGCTGAGAGGATAGACACACAGAGGCACGATTTTCATAGTCCCCAGCAGAACAAAGCAGACTAGAAAGCCAGTTAAAGGACTTGGGGAGCACAGGAAAGAAGGGGGCTGACGCAGCATCACAGGAGAGTTGACATTTGTGTTGGTTGGATCTTGAAGAATGAAGCATTCGTCAGCAATCAGAGAAGGAGATGAAGGGGCTAGAGGCATGGCTCAAGCCATAAAGTGCCTGCCTTATAAGCCAGAAGCCCTGAGTTCAAATCCCAGTTCCACCAAAAAAACAAACAAACATAAAACAGAGAAGAAGGAAATGGAAAGATCTTGCAGGCTAAGGCTAAGGGAACAACTTGAGTAAAGTCCAAGAGGCATGGAAACAGATGGGCCATTGGAAATTAAAGGGTCTGTAGGGTTCTCAAAGCTGTGTCCTATGAATAGTGACTCCTAAAGCTACCATCTCCTAACTCATATTCCAGTTATCTATTGAACACCTCTACCTAGATGTGTCATTGGTCTGGGACTCACTGTGATCACACACACCCCTCCCTGCACTCCCTGCCTCCATCAGTGACAGACATCCCCTCACAAATGTGCCCATACCAGAAACATAGCACTAGCCTTTGACTCTCTTTCCATTCCCTTGCTGCATCTAACTGGCCCAAAGTTTTCTTGTTTCGATTTACTAAACATCCCTCAATGGTTGTCCCTGTCCCCAGTGCCACTTTCTTAGCATGGTGGCAGCAAGCTCACCAGAAACTTTGGAATTTCAGTCCTGAGTTTGAATCCCAGCTCTGTCATCGTAAGCTGTATAAGCCTAGGCAAGTTCCTTAACCTCTCTGAGCTGCAGTTTCCTCCTAGAAAATGAAGAAAGTAACAGCCTCCTCCTCATGTGATGGTTGTGAAATAAGTAAATAAATAAATAAAACGTTTTGTGTAATCCTGGTCCATACTAATGACTCTAGAGTTAATGGTCATCGTTACTACCATTGTAAGAATGCAACCCCCTCCCCTAGTCTCTGTAAGGTCACAGCTAAGCTCCTGAGCAAGGCAGGAGCTGGTTCCTGCCACATGCTCAGTGCATTTCAGTCATACTTAAGATGCCCACCATTTCTTTCTTCATGTTGTATGCTGAGCTAGCCCTTCGCTCTCTTCCACCTGAAGAATTGACTTCATTCTTCACATCCCAGTTCAAACACTTTCTGTCTCATCTGTCTCACTAAATCTTCTACAGATACCAGTGCCTCTCCATCTGTGTCCCACAGAGGTATGTTCATACCTCTAGCATAACCTTGGTCCCACCAGATGACAGTCACCTGTGTAGTGTGTCTCCCACAGATAGAGCCCAGGGCAAGCAGGGAAGACTCTCCTTCATGTCAATATCCTGACTTCCTGGCACAGTGTCTACAATGGAACAGGCCCTTGGTAAAGGTATGTCAAGTTCAAGGGAGCCATAAGAATATCGTGTGCCCTGTAAACACTGGAATTCCTTAATACTTCAGTATGAAAACTAGAGTTATGAAGAAACCCATGTTTCAAGAGCCAATGTCCAACTGCCTCCGATCTGAAATTATAGCTCAGTGGTTCTCAGACCTCTTTTTGTATCAAAGTCAGCTGAAACTTTAAAAATAGTGATGCTGAGGTCCCACCATGGGCAATCCTAACTTAGTAGATCTGGGTGGGTCTGAGCCATGATAGATATTAAAAGCTCTCTGTGCACCCAGGGTTGAGCATGTCTGCTGCAGCTCAGGGGATCCACCATGTCACTGTACAGAGCTCCCAGCCCAAGTGCTATTGTGAGTCAAAGATGTATGGGGATGTTGAAAAAATAATCCCCCTGCTTTGGAACACTGGGTCCTCCCTGACCTCTCTGGCTATATGCTAACTTTTACCCCAGCATGCCATAAAAATAGCATTTTTTTGTGTGTGCTGTGAGGGGAAAAGAGCTGGGAAGCAATGACAGTCTGAGTACCTTCTAACCTGCCACATATGTGTCACACATGGGCCAAAGACATGTGTACATGTTGGCTTATTGACCCTCTTCCTGTGGAATTGTGATTCCTATTTTTCTGATGAGAAAAACAGGCCCAACGGTTAAGCACCTGCTCAAGGCCATGGGATAGAAAGCAACAGCATGGGTCTTCAGCCCCACGTGAGACCCACTGCAAGAAGAAACTAGGCAAGACATCTCTTCTTAAGCAATGGATACATGGGGACAGGAAAGCAGAAGAGAGCGTGAGAAGAAGAAAAAGAGATCTGGGAAAGGGTGAGAGAAGAGGAGAGAAAGCAGAGGGAGCACAGGGCAGGCACAGTCAGCTTCAGGGATATCTCTCTCTCTCTCTCTCTCTCTCTCTCTCTCTCTCTCTCTCTCCCCCTCTTATTTATTTATTTATTTATTTGCAGTGCTGGGGATTGAACACAGGGCCTCAAGCATGGTAGGATGTCAATCTGCCACTGAGCTACACCTCCCCATCCTTATCCCAAGGCTTCTGAGTGAAATGACAATCTCATAGTGAACTAGGTCTGGTTGAGACTGAGCAGGAGGGTGTGCTGCTCCTCTGGATTCCTGTTCAATCCTCAACCTCAAAGTCAACTAAATGACATGGAGATCAGCCTTAGGTCAGCTGTGTGGACTTAACATATCTGGCTTATAGTGGGTGCTCCATAAATGTCTGTTCATCTGTCTGCTTGCCCTCTCTCATTCCCTCCTTTCCCTGCTGGAGTGGACCAGGATCAGGGATACTCACAGAATGTAGGTGATGACGCCTATACTCCTGTAAGCAAAGAAGAGTAAAGTCAGGGCTGCCTGACTCCAACGGAATCCTCACTCCTCCTCCAGGCAGCCCCTGGATGCCATCTCAAGTCTACAACCCTCCCATCCCACTCTTCAGGAGCAGCCTGGGATATATCTGGAGTCACTGAATTCAAGGAGCAGGTTCAAGATCCAACTTCTGCACTTGCAGACTCTGTGATTTGGGCATGTCCCTTATCACCTCTGAGCCCCTCTCCTTATCAAGGGAGGCTAATGAAAACTATCTCACAGGACTGCTGGCAGGATTTTAGAAAACTAGGTGGTCAGCCAACTGTAAAGTAGTATTCAAATGAGGCAAGTTCCATCTGTGCAGTAACTCCAGGCCAACAAAGTGTCTGGAACATTGGAGGTTCTTGTTGAATACTTGGTGCCTTTTCTGAATGAGCCACCGTTACTGACATCTGCCCATGGCTGTGGCATGGGTGAGCCTGGATTCCGATCCTGCTATTCCCCAGGTCCTCATCTGTTGGCAAATGTTCTAACCAACCTCAAGTCCAGACCTTGCTGCCTTCATCTGCTCCAGCAGCAGGCCCAGCATGCCCAGAGCAGCAGAAACTCTCAAAGGTGAGTGTGAAGAAAGGGGTTCTCACAGTCAGGGGGATGTCACCTGAAACAGAGTCTGAGCCCTTCCATCTTTGGAAGGATCTCTAGGCCACCTGGGTGACCTTTATAACTTACCACATGTCAGCCTCCAGTCCTAAAGGCTCATAGTTCACGATTTCTGGAGCTGAAAGAAGTCATGAAGAGGTGGAAAGGAGTCAAGAAGAGGTGGAAACAAGAGGCATGGGAACTCCTCTTTGTAGAGAACTCTAGGGAACCTGGGAACAAATGTCTCCATCCTAAATCTCCAGTACGGAAATCTGAGCACAGATGGAGATAACCTGGATCTATGAATTCTGAGGAAAGAAGCTGCTATAACCCAAGCTGGGCATGGTGGTACACGCCTATAATCCCAGCCTCTTGGGAGGCTGGGGCAGGAGGGTAAACAGTTTTAGGCCAGCCTGGGCTTCGTAGTGGGATTCTGACTCAACTTAGTAAAAAAAAAAGAGAAAGAGAGAGAAATGAAGTTTCTATGGCCCAAATATTTGTGTTTCTGCAAAGGTCACATGTTGAAACCTAATCCCCAGTATGACAGTATAAAGAGGTGGGACCGTTGGAAGTGATGAGATCATGAGAGTGGAGCTTGGCAATGGGACTAGAGGCACTCAGGGAGCTTGCTGATTTCCGCCATGTGAGGACACAGTTAGAAGCTGCCATCCATCAGGAAGGCTCCCTCACCGACACTGAGTCTGCTGGTGCCTTGATCTTAGACTTCCCAATCTCCAGAATTATAAGGAATATATTTATGTTGTTTATAAATTACCCTGTCTATAGCAGCCCAAACACACTTAACAGATGAACTGCTGATAACTTGGTAGAAATCTTTTACACACAGGCCTTGATTGTGAAGCAGAGGGAAAATACTTAGGATCACCCAAAAAGGAAGAGGCGGATGAGAGAAGAGGGTATAGGAAGGAGACGTGAAGGCCTAGCAATGAGGCTCACATTACAAGTCTCTGGTAGATACTCTTGGGGATATACCCAAAAGACTGTGACACAGGTTACTCCAGAGGCACCTGCACACCCATGTTTATTGCAGCACTATTCACAATAGCCAAGTTATGGAAACAGCCAAGATGCCCCACTACTGACGAATGGATCAAGAAAATGTGGTATCTATACACAATGGAATTTTATGCAGCCATGAAAAAGAACGAAATGTTATCATTCGCTGGTAAATGGATGGAATTGGAGAACATCATTCTGAGTGAGGTTAGCCTGGTCCAAAAGACCAAAAATCGTATGTTCTCCCTCATATGCGGACATTAGATCAAGGAAAAACACAACAAGGGAATTGGACTTTGATCACATGATAAAGCGAGAACACACAAGGAAGGTAGGAGGATAGGTAAGACACCCGAAAAACTAGATAGCATTTGTTGCCCTCAACGCAGAGAAACTAAAGCAGATACTTTAAAGCAACTGAGGCCAATAGGAGAAGGGGACCAGGAACTAGAGAAAAGGTTAGATCAAAAAGAATTAACCTAGAAGGTAACACACATGCACAGGAAATCAATGCCATGTCAACTCCCTGTATAGCTATCCTTATCTCAACTAGCAAAAACCCTTGGTCCTTCCTATTATTGCTTATACTCTCTCTACAACAAAATTAGAAATAAGGGCAAAATAGTTTCTGCCTGGTAGCGAGGGGTAAGAGGGGGTAAGGGAGAGAGTGGGGGGGAAGGGAGGGGGCAGGGCGAAGGGGCGAGAAATGACCCAAACATTGTATGCACATATGAATAAAATAAAATTTAAAAAAAAACAAACCAAGTCTCTGGTAGACACCAGGCAGGTCAGTGCTGAAGTTGACAGGGAAAAAAAGAAGGCAGAGAAGGGCTGCATCTTCCTCTGAGTTTGGTCTGAATGAGAAGGCCTCCCATCTGAGGGGCAGAGGGCCTCCTTGGGGTCATGAGATGATGAGCCTGAGGTGCCCAAGAGGCACCAGGGAAGATGTCCAGGGGCAGCTGGCTATAGGGGAGCGAGTCAGAACCATCATATTTGGAGTTGTTGATGCACAGGTAGGAACGAGAGCTGAGTCAATGACATGGTGACCAGGAGAGGGTGTAGAGTAGGAGAGAAGACTCTGCTGAAGACAGAAGAGGACTATATGTGGCCCAGCAGTCAAGCAAATAAACAGTGGAGAGTGAGTGTTGAATGTCATGCTCACTGCATGAACTGAGTAGAAAATGGAGATCAGACTGTCAATAACTTTTTAAAAGGTTGGGCAATGAAATGGAGATAAAAGGAGGGCAGTGCCTCCTTGAGAAGGAGGAAGGATTGAGACCTGCTTAACTGCTAATGGAAAAGGTAGAGTGGGCTGGGTGTGGTGGTCCATGCCTGTAACCCCAACACTTGGGAGACAAAGACAGGAGGATTGTGAGTTATATAGTGAGTTCCAGGCCAGCCTGAGCTACATAGTGAGAACTTGGCTCAAAAAATAAACAACCCACTAGGCAAGGTGGCTTACGGATGTAATCTCAGCTACTCAAGAGGTGGAGATCAGAAGGATCATGGTTTGAGGCCAGCCCAGGGCAAAAAGTTAACAGCTTGGCATGGAGGCACACACTGTCATCCCAGCTACTAAAGGAAGCTATAAATAGGAAGATGAAAGTCTAGGCCAGCCCAGACAAAAACTTGAGACCCTATTCCAAAAATAACAAAAGGATGAAAAAGGGGTGAGGGTGTGGCTCAAGTGATAGAGAACCTTCCTAGCAAGCTCAAGGTCCTGAGTTCAAACCCTAGTACTGCCAAAACAAACAAATGAGCAATAAAAAAAGGTAAAGAGTAGGGAAGGCTAAGTTTGTTTATTTAGAACAATAAACCATTGCATCTACAGGGTGCATTTGTAGGGGAGGTAGGAGAGAGGGATGAAAAGAAAAAAGAAAATTTCTGTCAAGAATCCAGTTGTGATGAATGTGGTGGTATGCACCTTCATTCCCAGCTACTCAGGAGGCTGAGACCCCATCTCCAAAAAAATAAGAGAGAGAAAGAGAAAGGGGCGGGGGAGAGAGAGAAAGAGAGAGAGAAAAGAAGAAGGAGGAGGAAGATAAGGAGGAGGAGGAAAGGAGGAAGAGAAGAGAGAGGGAGGGAGGGAGGGAAGGCAGGAGGAAGGGAGGATCTAGTTGCATGCTGGAGAGCACTTTGGTATACCTAGTCATACCAAAGCTGCTTATGGCAGCTGACAATAACTTTATTGCCCTGGGTCTCATACTGAAATTTCAAAGGAATGGTGAGAGTAGAGGAAAGTGTAACCTGTTTCTCAGGAATTTTTTTTTTTTGTGGTACTGGGGGTGTTGAACTCAGGGCCTCATGCTTGCTGGGCAAGCACTTGCTAGGCAGGTACTCAGGTACTCTACCACTTGAGCCCCTCTACCAGACCTTTCAAGGGGTCTTGGGAAAAGAAAGTCATTATCATTTTAGCAGGGCCTTAGAGAAGTCATCCTAGATATCCGTAAGGTACAACCAGTGCAAACAAAACCACTCAGGCTCATAAGAGCCAACTGTGTGCATCCCTTCCCAACTCTGTATTAAGTGACAATATGCTAATAGGTTGAAACTGGCCAATGTTTTTGTTTTGAGATGTGGTTGTTAAACATTTATCATCACACCACTGGACAAAGCCCTCCACAGTCTGGTCTAGCTATCAGAAACCCATTCACACTGACAGTCTGGTTTGAATACTCAGCTCTATCCAGAATGGGAAGTAGTCTTAGCTCAAATAAATGTACTCATTCTGGTCTTACTCCTCTGCTACAATATAACTGAACCAGGGACGTGTTCCTCTTCTACCCTGGCTCTCTTCCCAGCCCCTCCAGACACTTCTCCCATCTCCCTCACTGACTCAAGGCCATGACTGATCCCACTGACTTTGCCAGTGTGAAGATCTTATCTGAATAGTCTTCCAACAGCTGTCTATATTACCTGCTTTATAATTAAATACACCCTTGTCTTGTGGTACCTCTTCTTCCATTATTGCCCTGGATTTCTAATTGAATTATTTACTGTTACTGAACAATTGGTATAAACTTAACTAACAAACATATGCATTTTTACCACATATGTGAATGGTGGGCAGTAACTGTTCTCTTAGACAAAGTTCAAGACTACATGTCTTGTACCCACGTCCAAGTTGGTTCTTCCACCAACTTAGAACTTTGGTGTGTCATTCTGAGCGTGGCTCCTCACCATCAATGTCTGCAGAACTAATACCTGGGGCCTGAAAGTTCATCAGGGTGGTAGGTCTGACATACTCATTTTTTGCTTTTTTGTTTGTTTGCAGTGCTAGGGACTGAACCCTAGGCCTTGTGCTAGCTAGGCAAGCATTCTACTACTGAGTTACACCCCCAGCCTTCTGTTTTCCTTTTTTATTAGACTCTGGTCAGGAGTTTCAGTCCTCAGGTTTTAAGGAGACCATGTCCTCTCTGCATCTCTGACATTCCAACTCCCAAAGCTGAGAGATAGGTGGTGGATCTCAACTCTCAATCCTTTCCTTTCTGTAAGGCTATTTCTTTGTGATCCCCGTCTTGTGGCCCAAGCCCAACAAGGGGGCTTTGGGGTACAGAACAGGAGGAGCCTGGACAAAGGGTAAGAGAAACAGGGAAGAAAGAGTGGCCAGGGCCCGACTGGAACTGGGCATTCCAGGCAAGACTAAAGAGCAGGCACACAGGAGAGGCAGGTGGGCGGATTCCACATCTGGCAGATGATTGCCTTTGTCCTTTGCAGGAAATCAAAAGCTCCTCCAGAGAAGGTTGAACTCGTGGGAATGCAAGAGGGTAAGGTGATTTTAAATCTATACAATAAACTCATCTAAGAGCATGAGGAGGGGAAGATTTAACTCTGAAAAGTGCTCTAGCCCCACCTGGCCACCCTCTGTCCCACTGGGCACTCAAAGCCAGCACCTGGACCCTTACCCAGGGGCCTAGCAAGACACTTCCCTACCTGTTAGGTTTCCACGGGAATCCCAAGGCACCACCTCTCAGCCAGAGACATAGCCCCGGATACAGGCTTTGTTCCTGGGATTTCTCTACCTTTGTATGCCAGATTTTTAGCTGAGAGAGAAACAGACCTAAAACTCACCAACAAATTCTGGTGTCCCAAAAATGTTCTTAAATTCAACTCCATCTTGTATTTCATGAGCCAGGCCAAAGTCAATCAGCTTGATGTGTGGAATGGGAATATTCTTGTCTAACAACATAATATTTTCTGGCTGGAGAACAAAACACAACAAAACAAAAAAAGGAAGGAAGAAAAGAAAAGATGGTAATTAGAGCCCTGTTTTGTGTTTTTGCTTTGGGTTGGGGTAGGGTTTGGCATTCTTTTTTAGGAGACTGAAACAGCATAACTCTTGTTTTTGTGTCCTCGGTCTTCGGTGAGCTTGAGGCAGAGCTCCCAGGGCAAGGTCCGGCTTTTACTAAAACAGATGCTAACAGCACAACTGGAGAATTTGGCCTTAGTTCCTTTTGTCTCCAAATGGCAGTGCTTCTGTTTTCTCACCTGTCAAATGGGATCAACCAGATACTTGCAGCATTCCTCCTCTCTGTGGGTGTGATGGGGTCAGGGCATCACCAATTAGCCTTGGTTTACACTAGACTTGTTGCTTCTGACCATATCTTTCCCCTGGCCAGCCAGCTTCCTGTTGACAACTCTCTCCTCCAGTAACTTACTGTGTAGCCCATACTTCTCTATGTATTAACTATTTTTTTCCCTCAGCAGGACACAGGGGAAAATGCACATGATTTCCAGGGAAAATACCAGCTGTGCATGCTATTTCCAGTCCTCAAACAGCTGCCAGGTATTACAAACCAATGCAGGGACAAGGGCAGCCCTGCACAGACCCTTACACTCTCCCAGTTCCCTGGAAAGCTGGAACAGGGTCCTGAGCTCTACCCTTCTTATTCCCACCCAACTACTCAACCTAGGAAGAGGATAAATAGCTCTCCCTCCACTTCCCCCATGAATGTCCCAGATTCTATTCAAACTGGAATGCCATGAAAACTTCACCCACATAAAACGGTACACCAACGTTCAGAGCAACATGTTCACAATAGCCCCGAAGAGGATAGTGTCCATCAACTGAAGAATGAATAAACAAAATGTAAAATACCATATCACATATAATATCCATGTAAGAGTACTATTTCACCATAAAAAGGAATGAAGTCAAAGAAAAAGACAAAAAGGAACAAAGTACCGATCCATGCTACTGCATGGATGAACCTTGAAAGCATTATGCTAAGCGAAAGAAGCCAGACACAAAAGGCTATGTATCATGTCATAAACATGAAATATTGTAAATATTTCCCTGTAAATATCCAGAACAGGCAAATCCACAGAGACAGAAAGTAGGTATGTAGGTAGTTGAATAGGACTAGGGGGAGGGGGAGGGGAGTAACTGCTAACAGATTCATGGTTTCTTTCTGGGGTGATAAAGTTGTTCAAAAAATAATTCTAAAATTATACTGTAAATGATTGTGGTGTTATTTATATAACCTTGTAAATGAAACACATAAAGTAAAGTGGGTAAATTATATCATATGCATGTGAATTATATTTCAATAAGGCTGATAAGTAAATAAATGTTTAAGAAGATTGGAGGCCCCCATTCTCAAGGCACTGAATGATTTCTCACCTTGTGCCTATGCTCACTCCATTTGCCTGACCCAGAGGCATTCTGTACATCTGCTTGTAGTGAAATCCCCCAAGCTAAGCTAGTCTCACCCTTAAGCCCTTCCTCTCAATTCCCAAGCCTCTCCATGCTTCATGCTTGTTTAGACCTTTTGTTAGGACATTTGGCCTGTGCTCCCAGGTCTTTGCCTAACTCCCCAGCAGAACTGCCCTCAGCTGGAGAGAGGACCCAGATCCCTGATGGTGGTAGGTGAGCATGGCCCTAACTCTTAGCTGGACCCATATTGAGTCTGGATTGGAGCCCTGCCCCAGGTGTCCCTGGCTCCCCCAAGTCTCTGTGACCTCCTGTCACAGAGGCTGGAAACTTTCACTCAAGGGAGCAGCTGAGGCCCTCCCCTGCATTTTTTCCACTTTAAAAAAAAATAATACATTTCCTTTTGCATTTTTAAAGCTTGTTTATTCTTATTCCCCTCTAGAGATTACTTTCAACTTTATTTTGAAAAAAATGTGTCAAAGTTCTTTCCAAGACAGAGCAGATTACTAGTCTCTGCAGAAAGGAGGTTAAGGGCAGGAGAGGTCCAGAGACAGGATTCAAGCAGGTGGCCCAAATTCAGTGCCCCAGGCCAGGCCTGCCACGATAGCCATGGACCTCAAGTGCCCTGGAACCCCCTGCAGTGAGCACCCTCTCTACTCCCTACCCTCTCCTGAGCAGGCAGCTTCTTCTTCCTTGTACTCACATTCCTTGGCCACCTGGTTAGGAACTGTTCCTCCAGGAAAGAGGCCCTAAGACCTCTGTTGGGTGCAGAAGCCAGGACCCAGACCCTCCTGACCACCATAGCTCAGGGCTCACATAACACCTACCAAATAGAATGGGGGTAGGAATCACAGGGGACAGGAGTGGACACCCCCGACCTGGTGATTCCCAGTACTATAGGGTAGCAGGGAATGAAGTGAGAGAGAAAAATTGATGCTGAAATATCTTTGGCAGTGCCACCCTGAGAGGAAACTCAGCTCCTTGCCTCACACCCACTCACTGCTGCAGTCCACAGTCCAGAGGAAATGGCCTTTTCAGTGGCTTATAAAAACCTCAGAGTAAGCCTACATTTTCTCAGCTGAGTTCCATTTGTTTCCAGCCCCACCCTAAGAACCTAACACAGACCAAGTGACTTATCTCCTGCTTTGAGCACTTTCCTGGCCCTGCCTTCTCCCCAAACCTAACTCCTCTTCACATTTCAATTAATATATCACCTTGTCCAGAAGGCCTTTCCTGGTCTCCCCTGCCCCTTACTGCCATCTCCTAGATCCCCAAACACCTGTACTTCTCCCGGTGCAATACTTCTTACACTGGTGGCTGTCTGATTGCTTATCTGTCTCCCTCCAATGGACTGAAAGCTTCCTATCATCTCCCCAGAGCTTGGGATAGAGCCTGGTAGCTACCAGTGCTCCATAAATGTTCCCCAAGGAAAGCAAAGTGCCATTCATCAAGCCCCTGCAATATGCAGGACCACATGCTAACGAGCACATGCCATACTTTGTACCTCACTCAACTCTCTCAGCTCCCCCATGTAATGTATGCTATTGCTCCTCTTTTGCAGAAAAAGAAGCTAAGACTATAACACCAGCTAGTGGACACAGAGATTTCAACATTTACCAGTCAGACCCCAAAGTCTTGCTCCTACCCAATAGATTAAATGATCCCCTTCCTGGCTTCTTGAAGGTCTATGACTCTATCCCAGACAGAACTGGGAATGACGCTTAAGCTGGGCAACCTGGGCAGACTCCTGTCTGGAGCAGGCACCTGCCTCTCACTCAGGGTACCTTTTCGTCTGGTGATGTTTTCATGAGGTGTATGCCTCTCCGGCTGTGTCCCCGGCCCACCCTCAGAGCCTCAGGAGCTCCTGAGCAGGATGTCCTCATTTCAGATGGGAAAACTGAGGTCCTGGCAGGAGAGGACCCAAGTTGGGTCTGCATGAAGGAACATGGGTCTTTCAGCCTGGGATGGGACCATGGGTCAGCAGGAATGCTCAGTTGGGTAGTTAGGACTGGGGCTCTGTCCCCACCTCATTGCTCACCCATTGGGCCATTTGGACCAGATGCACCTGCACACTCACACCCACCCTGACTGGGAGCTGACAGACCATGGAGTTCCTGCTTCCTTCCAAGGTTGGACAGGGACTTGGACTTCCATTTCTACAGCTTTCCCTGCTTTCAGAAAGTCTCCCTTCTTGCTCCCTTCTTGGGCATCCTGATGATACCCAGGAGACAGAGCAGATACTAACATTTACTACATAGTGCTCTACATGATCCTTGCAACCACCCTGAGTGGTAGGCACTGTTAATACTCCCATTCACAGATGAGGAAAGTGAATCTCAGAGAGCTAAATGATGTCCCCAAGGTCCAACAGCTCATAATGGCAGTCAGGAGTGCTTCCTGGCAGTCCAGCCCCTATTCCTCCCACCATATCACCCAATCTGATTACATAGGTACTGTGGTCCCAGTGACCACCAGAGAAATCCCAAATGCCCAGCATGATAACGAGGCACTTGGGCTCTGTGCTCCTCAAGCTGCCTGTCCAGTCTCTCCTTACTGCTCTACACCACTGCAGGGCAGGTACTACCAGCACCACATGCTACCTCCCAGTTCCCACTGGCTGCTCTTCTTACCTGGAAAGCCTTTCCTATTCCTCCTCACTCTTTCAGAGCTGAATCCCCATGATCCTGCTCCTTTTACTCCCTTCCTTTTCAATGACACTTCCCTGACCTTATGCTCTAACCCTCTCAGTGCCAATGCTTGCTAACAGGCCTAAGCTGTAGGCTGTCTCATCTGTGATACCACTTCCCTAGAAGATTACCTTTTCTCTGAGGAAACTCAATTCTCTCTTAAGATTCCTGGCATTGCCTCTGTTGTCTTGCCTGTTGTGTGTTTCATTAATATTTGTGGAAATAAATTGAAAGAAACCCAGCCAGTGACTCCTACTTTTCTGTCCTCTGAAGGCCCTTCACCACCACTAGGGGCGCCAGAGAGCACTCCTCCCTTAGGACTTGTCATAGAGCTGGTCTGAAAGGTAACTTGAGGGGCCAGCAAAGCAGCAATCTGCCTCCCCACCTCACTTTGGTTTGGTCTCTGACTCCCCCTCCCCCAAAAGAGCAGGGTGGTAGAAAAGATCCCAGATAGAAAGTTTCCTACGGATTGGGAAACTCAGTTTCAGCCTCACCATCTCAGGCTTGAGCGAGCTTAAGCAGACTACTTCCTTTCTCTGGGCCTCAGCCTTCAACTCTAAGCTAAATAAGGGATGCCATCCAAAGCCCCTTCAAGTTCTAGACTCAGGAATTTCAAGGAGGCCCACACTCCCAAGCTAGCTGGACAGATTTCCACTGCTCTAGGCCTCAAGGAAGGACATGAAAAAGCTCATGTCTCCCAGCCTCAGGTCAAGAAGGAAGAACAGGCGCTGTGATCACAGGCAGCCCAAGCCAGACCGCCATCTGGGTAGTATGATCCTATCCATCTTCCCTCACTCCTGTCATCCTCCCCAGCCTTATTTACTTCAACCAGACACGTCACCCACACACCTGACATCATCT